AAGAAGTTTTCCTGGGAAAAAAATAATTCAGCAATGAAATGAGTTGTCACCAAGGGGTTTAGGACAATCTCCTTGGGTTGCCTTTCTTCTTTTTTTTTTAAATTTATTTTTATTTTTTGGCCGTGCCATGCAGCATGTGGGATCTGAGTTCCCCAACCAGGGATTGAACCCGTGCCCCACGCACTGGAAGCGTGGGGTCTTAACCACTGGACCCCCAGGGAAGTCCGTCTTTCTTCTCTTCTATCCCAATCTTTACCTATCGAATTCTCACCATTGCTTCAAAGCACAGATCTAACAACAGCTACTGCATGGTGCCTCCTTACATCCTCCCAGAATGATCTCAAGTCCTGTCACTGTCAACGTCACACCTGTGTATCTTCTCCACGTTCTGTTATTTTTCCTGCTTATTAGATCAGCTTCTACAAATAAACTGTAAACACTTCGAGAAGGAATATTTCCTCATATCAGTCAGGGTCACCCTGCAGGAAGAGGATGACACACTCAAACCACTTAATTGAGGAGATTTTGGTGAAGGCACTGTTGATTCAAGTGTGGGCAGACCTAAAGCAAACCAGCATGAGATGGGCTGGCAACACCCAGGAGTCGTTACTACCAAAAAGCCTGAAGGGGCCTGGGGAGAGAGAAGGTGCCACAACACAGAGAGCTGTGGTTGTAATTGCAGCTAAGGTTGTGGGAGACAGCTGCCCAACTAAAGCTGTGGCCCTAGGCAGAGTAGCCCTGTCACTGTGGTCCACAGCCAGGCAGGGAGAGAGCAGGAAAACGATGACCTCGACTTCTCTTTCCTCCCAACCTGGGATGGCCTTCTAGGTCAGCCCATTGGCCAAACTCAGTGAGATGTCAGAAGGCCAGGGATTCTTTGAACAAGGCCCACGTGGTACATCCTCCAGGGGTGCACAGCCAGGTAGAGAAGGATGGACTGGATCTGGAGGGGGAAATGGCAACTGTCCAGCACATCCCGTGGCTACTAAAGCATCTCAAATATAAAGCAGGTTTTCAGTGATGTTTGTTGATTGACAGAGTTAATGTGAGCCTGTGGAAGGCCTAATTACTCTAATGATTTGGATGCAAACCATCCAGAGGCTGAAGGATGAATCGAAGGACCTGTGAGGGGGCTTCCCTGCTGCCACGAGTCTGTCAAAAGTGCACTCTGTCAGATGTGAGGATCTAATATGGCCACTGTTTTGTCTTCCTTTCAGTGGGGGAGAAAAGATTGGGGTACCACATGGAATTCATCACTCATGAGAGAAACTGTTACTCCTATCTGTGCTTAAACGCAAAAAGTATTTTCCCCCCAAATTAAAAGAGAATCTTTGCTCTTGAAATGTGAGCTGGAAAAACGTTCACTCCCTGGCCTGCTCGTCAGCTAAACGCTAGCACAGCTACAAGTGTCAAACAGCTATACATGCAGCCTATTTGCAGAGATGATTCCTGAAGATAAAAAAGCAGTGTGAAATGCTGACTTTTTCTGATCAGAAAGCATCCTGGGGTGGGCTGAAGAGTTTTGGGTCAGGAAGAGGCTCCAGTTTCTGGGGTGATTTTTATTGTTATCAGAGAGAAGACTGTACTTTCCATGAATACGCGGCTACTTGGCATACTCCTACCGGGAGAGGCCAACGTGTCCTCGCTTGTCTTTCTCTCCGTGTCTTTACGCCTCACATTGAAACACATTTTTCATTTCAGTTTCACTTCCCCTGTCACGTTCTTCTTTAAAAGGATGATTCATCAAGTCAAAAATCAGCAACATCAAAGGATACTTTAGCGTTACTAGGGTGCACGCATGCCCAGACACACACACACACACACACACACACACACACACACACATGCTCTCAAACCCTCCCATGTGTCACGTCCTGAAAGCAAAATTGTGACTAAGGACCACAAACTCACATCCCCCAGTTGGAGCTTTTTTTCAGTACTTGGACTGTGAGGTTTTTTTTATTCTGTGGTTCCTCCAGCATAACATTTTTAAAACTGTTGCAGGGGAGCTACTCAACACTTCATGATTTGATTATGTGAAATAAAAAGTGTAATGAAGTTAATAGCGCCTTATTCTTGCAGTACATTCTAAGGAGTTTTTCTGCCTGCAAAATCTGAAAGTGGAAATTACCTCTGGGCCCTCTGACTCTCAAAAATATGGGTGATAACGATTACGGCAGTGGAATGTCGACTTGAGAGCTTAGTATGTTTCTCTCTCCTCTGCTCAGTTTTCCAAAGGATCTTCTCTTACTGGGTTATTATTGGAGAATGAAAGACAAAGAACTGAAGTGGCAGGTCAGAAACCTCACTTCTGCTCTTGGTTGCATCCTACTTGTGCAGCCTCAGGAAAAGCATTTAAACTTGCTGATGATTAAGTACTTTTTAGGCAGAGTGAGGGGACTGGATAACCCATTCCCAATTTGGATTCTTCGATTTAAAAATAACATAGAATAGAAAAAAATAAATAAAAAAAATGAAAAACAAAACGAACATAGAATCGGATAGAATAATAAAACTAAAAAGAAAATGAGTTGGGAATGAAGAGTGCGTGATATGGTGCCAGTGTTTCTTTCTTTTTCTTTTTTTCCTTGTATTTCCCAGCAACCCTGATCTAGAATCATCCCTGTGTGCTTCCTGCCTAGTTATTTGTGTGGTTTCGGCACAGAGCCAAAGAGGAGGGCAAGGTCTTGGGTTCAAGTCCTTTACAGGCCAGTCAGCTTTAATCTCTTCCCCTATTTGTGTCTGTCTCTCTGACAGTCACAATAAACTTCACTAGGGTCTTTCAATGGGTCTCACACCCTAAAAACCAATCCTCTTGCTGTCATTGTCCCAATAGTGGCATCTTATGTGAGGGCAGAACATAACGGTAAAACAGAAGGCAAAATCGTAGTCACATGGCCTACCCTGTATAACGATGAATAGCATTCAAGCATCCCTGTACCTTGGGCCAGTCATAGGAGAACGAATTCTTTTTCAGGATTTTCCCAAGAGGCACATGCAGATGTCACATTCAATCTGCCTCTAGTAAACAAGGAAGACGTTTCACTAGTGTAAAAGCTCTCCTAAGCATCATTTAGGGAGATTTAACAGGATGACGTTTCTCAGGTGGTACCAAGCAACAAGTTCTCCTTTTCCCAACGTTCTTTTGTGCTGGAAGTCAAGAAACAGATCCACAGTCCCCACAAGACTCAGGCTAGAGCCACATGCCAATGGGAACGCAAGCTTGATTTGGGATTTTCAGCCAGCAGAGGTAATACGACGGCTTCGATTTATGCTCACGGTCAAGTCTGTCCTTAAGGAAAATTTAAACATGGCAAAAATTTCATTGAATCTCCTTCTCTGATTTTCAGATGCCCAGTGCCCTCGTGATAATCCACGTCCCCTCCCCTCCTTGCGCCAGCCCAGCCTTGCATGCTGGCACTCTGTGCTCTGTATCCTTTTCTTTACCAACTCCCTCAACAAAATTCTGCTCATCTGTCTGACATCTGGGAATGATCCAAGGCCTTCTATTAATGAGTGCTACTGTGAATGACTAAAAGACAATAGCTTAGCATGCTTGCTTTTATAGGGTCTTTGTATCTTCTCTGGGACCTAAGGCCAAATTGGGGGCTTTAGGGATTAATCAGCAAGGATGATACTTCTGTGTTAAGAGAACCTTTCTTGGGCTGCTCCTACTATATATACTACATGAGTGCCTAGCTAGGCGTAAGACAGACCTTACTGGCAGGTTGATATGTAAGAAGTGTTTCCTTTGGCAAAGAAAAGAAGGAGAGGCTGAGAAATTATCTTTTTATCCTAAGTTTCCCTAGAAGTTGCAAAGGGTATAGACATAAACACACACACACACACACACACACACACACACACACAATTTTCACTGCACTGTACCTGGAGACAGAAAGACCTCAGAAATGAGAAGAGGGCATGCCAACTGGGAGGAGAACTTAAAACCCTATAAGAGTTCTTAGCCTCTGAAGGTATGCTGCCCGGTACAGAGCTCACAGAGACACAGAAGAACTAGACACAAAAGTTAAATGCAACTCTTTTCTCAGTTCCCAGAAACTCACATTTATGAACAGTTTGTGACGTGAAGCCTCAGCAATCACAGGGTAACTAGCTAATCTAGACACCGACAGAGCAAGTCCTACAGCAGCAGAATTGGAAAAGGGCAACTAATAAATCAACAAATATTTTATTGGATACCTACTCTGACCCCAACTCCAGGCCCGAAGCTGGGAGGACACAAATGAATAAAGCACATCCCTAAATGTCATGCCAAAGAAGGTACTAAGCTACCTTTCTACTTGAGTAGGTGACCAAAAGAGTAAAGAATGACTTGCTTCATTTGATTTTTTACTCTGTTCAGATGCATCATTGAGTAGGTGACCCCAAACATCTCAGATCAGACTGTGAAAGACTGGCCAACCTTCAGAAATCAGTGACTTTTGGAGTCTGTTTCCTTGGACTAACCAGATCCTCATACACGAAAGCAGACCCAACCAAATTGTTAAGAATGATGCTCATCAGTATTCAAACTTTTAGAAAGAAAGTTTATGGACCATTGAACAAATTTACATACCCAAGATCTCAGAGATTTTCTTCGCTCTTCAGTATTTGAAACTCTAGTGAATTCTTGTTCAACTTACCCGCAGAGTTAAGATAAATGGGTGATAGAACAACTATATACTAGCTTGGCATTTGGTATCAGCTGTACAGTAGTGTTTTTGTATGGGTTAAAGTTTACTTCAGCTGGAATTAATGTAATTATATATAATGCTGACAGATTAGGACATTTGCCTATTAGGACACTACACAAACATTCCAATAGTTTGCTGGCTTTTGACTTTGTAAAAAATAAGTGAAACAAAAATCCCAGGAGATATTGTTAATGGGGTAACTGGAATAGAGGTTTTGAAAGCACAGGGTTCAGGAAATCACAGTCAAAGAATAATGCATTTTAAGCCAAAACATATAGTGGTAAATGAATATTTAGTACTTACCACAAGACTGCTATCTAGAGACAGCCTTTTTCCAAAGTCCCTTTTCTCAAGCTGTCTCTTTCCCTCCATGAGTGAAGTTATTTATTTTCCTTTGTGATTTATAAGAATTCCCCTTCTGTTTCCAGGGTCACTGCAAAAAGTGAACATGTGTTTTACCATCCGAGCGAACAGTGTTTAGACCCCTGTTGTTCACTTTCTAACCAGGAGCAAGTGTTGAAGCCAAAAATACCCAGACCCAAATCATAAGTTTAGAACTGGGTTCTCTCGACTCCAAAACCCTCGCCCGCTGCCAAGGTCAGAGTCGTCTTTGTGGAGGCCCCTGTGTTTTCACAGGTTTTACTAATGGAGTCGCGGAATGGGTTTGCAGGTCTAATCAGCAGACCGTGGAAAAAAGCAAACAGTCCGTTTCATGCCACACTTGTTTCACACCCGTCCTCTCTCTATCCGCCAGCATCATTCTGTTGCTGTGCACAGGGACGCTGTCCGCAAATTCCATGAGAGCAAATGGACAAAGCCACGCTCCATATCCAAGACCTGCTGAGTCCGAGACCCAGTAAGGGGAAGGTGAAACATGAACATTATTGTCAATATTTAATTCAAAAATAATTTAAACCTATTTAAGGAACATTACAAGAGACATTTGCTTTGGGAAAGGTTGAATCCACATGAATGGTCATGGCGTCATTATCGTAAGTATTTGAACACCCACTGCATTTCACCAAATCAGATAGAGTTAATCCCTGCACTCCACTGAGATTGTTTGCTCTAGAATGACTTGGTATTCTGGTTAGTAAGGATGCATTAGATGTATTAAATACTAGCTTCCAGTTTTTACCGAGATGTAAAATGCTCGAAATGGAATAGGTTTGAACCCAGACTTTCCTACGCATTAGCCAAGTGAACTTGGACAAGTCATTTAGGCTCTCTGAAGCTCATCTTTCTCCACTGCAAAAACAGATAACAGATGGCCATCAAATGACGTATATAAAAATGGTTTAAAGGCGATAAATGACAACTTACATTTAAGTTCTAATTATGCACGGATAACATTAAAAACCAGTTAACCTTAAATACAAGTCGACATAATTTAATATGCCTCTGATGACTCAGAAGGCACTGTGAGGTACAGAAATTGCTCATAATTCGCAAAAAACACGTTTTATATCAGCCATTGAACAGCCGACATAGAAGAGCTGAGCTTAATAAAATGCTAAACCAATCAGTTTCTGACACAATTGAGAAGGAATATTTTTTAGAATTATTTCAACTGCTCCAAGTTTAACGAGGATGCAACAGACGGGACCTCACAGCCTATACACAGTATGTGGCCTCTTTCTCTTGGTTTCCTCTACCACGAAGAGGGTTGAGACAGCTGTGCCCCAGGCAGGGTTTGCCCACATTATAGTCGGTTGTTGGAAACTGATGGGCTTCTTTTCCATTTTAGTCATTCCATCTCTCACTTTCAGGAACACTCACTTTAATTCATTACTGGTCCACTCAGAAACTCCACTCTGACTTCAGGATAAAATCCAAAGTTTTCAACCTCATGTTCAGGGTCTAATTCCTGCCAACCAGGCTTTACAATCTCCAAACACACGAAGAACATTCCCGAAACCACACTTCAGATCATACCTCCATCTGGTCTAATCCTCCCTTTGCCCCCGTGCCTGGCTCAGATCCCCGATCCTTCCCAAAACCTTCTGCATCACTCCATTTGGCAACGATTCCTTTCCCTCCCAAGGTTCATAGAAGTCCTTAGGGACCTTAGTAATCACCTTCATCACCTGGGTCAGTTCTTTAACTATAGTCAGTTCTTAATATCTGCTTGTTGGTAGGGCCTAAGAGTTAAAAACCAACAAAGCACTGGCAGCATTTGTCAGAAGAAAGTTAGCTCTATGCTAATAGTATAGGCCAAACAATTAGTTAACTGAAATTTATTTGGGGGCTGTCTTTTGTGCTTTCAGCTGTTCCCACCCACTTTGCAGCCCCCTTCTCATCCCGGGGACTCTATGCACTGGTGGCTCAGAATACTCTCTGTGATGATCAGTCCAGCTACAGAGACTACTCAGGCCCTGAGATTCCCCCATCCAACAAAAGCATGCCCTCCTGAGTCTTATATTCCCAAGAGCCTTGGGGTTTAACAGATCACAATAGATGATACTTTGGCATTTAGCTCATGTTTATTAAGTGCTTAATGAATGGAGGACTCAGTACTTTGATGTTGGTGACACAGCACGTAAATAGAGACCAAGCCCCTGCCTTTGTGGAGATTACATTCTAGTGGGAGGATACAGAAAACAAATAAGCAAACAACTCCAAACCACGAACAGTACCTGCTATGAAGGAAACAACCCGCTGAGACTGGTGTAGCTGAGGGTCAAGTGTGTGAAAAGGGAAGCAAAGTTTAGACAGAATGGTAAGGGTATGAGCTGCCATATAAAAACATGGGTAGAGAGCAGTCCAGGGCTTTCCAGGTGGTTCAGTGTTTAAGAATCCGCCTGCCAGTGCAAGGTACACGGGTTCGAGCCCTGGTCCGCGAAGATCCCACACGCCACGGAGCAACTAAGCCCACGCGCTACAACTACTGAGCCTGAGCTCTAGAGCCCACATGCCGCAACTACTGAGCCCACACACCACAACCACTGAGGCTCCTGCACTCTAGGGCCCATGTGCCACAACTACTGAGCCCACGTGCTACAACTACTGAAGCCTGCGTGCCTAGAGCCTGTGCTCTGCAACAAGAGAAACCACCGCAATGAGAAACCCGCGCACTGCAACAAACAGTAGCCTCCGCTCACCAAAGCCCACGCACAGCAACACAGACCCAACGGAGTGAAAAAAAAAAGCATTCCAAGGTAGAGGGGCCAGTCTTTCTGCTGGGAAGGAGCTGGTAAAGAGGTTTGTGTGCCCTAAAGCAAACTAGGAAGAGAACGTGTGAAAAAAGTTCTGAGATTTAAGTAACAACTAGTTCACACAGGGCCTCATTGGCCAAGGTGACTTGTTTATTCTAAATACAATGGTTAATCTTCAGGTTTGATTCTCTACTTCACCCCTTACTCGCTGATCACATTACATTATTTAACCTATTTAAGCTCCAGTTGGTTCATCTATGAAAGGACACTAATAACAGGACCTTCTTCCTAGTAGGGTTGTTGTGATGATTAATGAGATGATCCACTGAAAGATCACATAGTGGGACTGAAACCAAGTCCCCCTAAAACCGAGTTCCTCTGCTGAGTTTATGATTAAAGTCTCTATCCAAAACGTTATTCCCTTTCTTGTCCAACACCTGTTCTCCTCAAGATTGAGGAGTATCAAAGAAAAGGGGGAATTGAAGCCAAGCAGGACCCTGTGGTGCTCCTGGGTACAAATCTTTTCCATGTCCCCCTATTTTGTAGGAAATATGCTTCATTCAGCCTCCTTAACCTTCCCTGAGTTCCAAAGGGCAGATTCGAACAGTTGCTAATCAGGGAAGGGAGGGGATGCAGAAACAAAGAAGGAGCAGTCAAGAAACAATAGTGCAGCCTTGGGACAGGGCCCTGGTTCCTCCACAAGGAATATACAGAACAGTATCTTTGAGTTCTTCTGCAGGAACTAAGGTCCCCACCCAGGTGGAAGATGGTAACTCCAAGCTGAGCACAAGATTCCTGGAGTGCCACCCTGTTACCTCACCACCAACCAATCAGAAGAAAGCCATACACCCTACATCCCTCACCCCAAATTTTGCCTCTGAACACTTTTCCCCAAAAACCATCAGGGAGGCTTTGCTGGTGGCACAGTGGTAAAGAATCCACCTGCCAGTTCAGGGGACATGGGTTCGAGCCCTGGGCCAGGAAGATCCCATATGCCGCAGAGCAGCTAAGCCCACGCGCCACAGAGCAACTAAACCCATTCACCACAACTACTGAAGCCCGCGTGCCTAGAGTCCATGCTCTGCAACAAGAGAAACCACGGCAGTGAGAAGCCTGTGCACTTCAACGAAGAGTAGCCCCCACTCGCCACAACTAGAGAAAGCCCCCACGCAGTAATGAAGACCCAACACAGCCATAAATAAATAAATAAATAAATAAATAAATTTATTTTTTAAAAAAACAGCAGGAAGTTCAGGGGTTTTGAGCATGAGCCACCCTTTCTCCTTGCTTGGCCCTGCAATAAACCTTTCCTTGCTCCAAAAATAAAATAAAGTAAATAAAGATCACATAGTACGTAAGCTTTAAATGTTAGATATATTCATTATCCCTTCTGGTATATATGATTCAACTCATTAAGAAGCAACTCTAGTGACTGAATTTTTTGCTCTGTAATAAGCTGATGAAGCCGTCATTGGGAAATGGAGATCCTTTTGACAGTTCCTGAACAGGCTAGTATGCTACGTGGAAGGCTGATTGAACAGCTTAACCTGGTCAATTTCTTTTCACGTTTTATGATGCTAATTATATAGGCAAAGATTGACATTCAAAACATTTAGCAACTGATACGGCCTAGGTATTGACTGATCAGAAGGGCACAGTGAAAGGCAATAAGCAGTACAGCTATAGCAGTACATCCTGGCCAATTATCAGCTTAAGTATATGTACTACCTCTACCCCAAGAACTTGAAAATTTGTGAATTAAACCATAAAACGAGCATAGAGAGGATCAAAGTAAGTTGTCCAAAAGGATCAAAGCAAGGCCACCCAAAAGAAACAAATGGCAAGCAGGTTGTGTCAGTATGAAAAGAGGAGGGGCCCACAAAGGAAAAGTCAGGAAGGCTCACACGCTCTGCCCCCAGCACCATGGGGGAAGAGAGCACCCTCATGTATACAAACCCAACAAGGACTGCAGGTCTAGAGGAAAAATGAGCGTCAGCCCCCAAAGACACTTCGGTAGGACACTGGTCATTTGTATTATCCAACAAACTCCCTTGCTCAGAGACCACTGTCATCAAACAACCTCCTCATTTTATTGGATTCCCATGTAGCTTTACTTATTAAAGGAGAATGTGTTGACCAGCAAATATAAGTAGGCAGTCTTTTGGAGAGTTGCATTTTTAGTAAAAATTTGCAATTTGGCATCCAACTCTTTATATTCATCATTTATATATTTGCTTATTATACTAGTCAGCTTGTGTGGTCATAACAGAATACCACA